CCGGCCCCCCATCCTCGTGTATTTTGCCGCTTTTGGCGTCGTCAGACGGTATTGCTCTTTCGTGCATTTGCAAAGCGCACATCTTCGACCCTGCGCACCCCAGGACCATCTGAGGATCGGAGCACACAGTCAACACACTTCTTCGTTCGTGTGCCGTGGTCATCATGTTCGGAGGTTAGTGACGGTAGAGTTTTTGATCGTTGGCGTGACGTCTTCATGCTGCAGCACATCCCGCCAAGTCGGTGCCCCCCACACCTGGAAGGGAATATCTCTGCGTGAACGACCCCTTGTGTGCAGCGAACTTAGGGGGGCATACCCGTGTTGCTCCTGAACACTGCGAAGCTTTCCTTGCTGAAAAAGACGCTTGCATGGCAGAGTCGTTCCCCGTTGTATGGCGAAGTTGACAACTTGCGGCCAGCCACCGGAAAGACATGGGGACCACTCCCGCATGTACGAGAGGGGCGAAGACGGTCCTGTCATCTCAGATTGATCCACCCACTCCCTCCAGGGGCTACGCGTGGTCACACGCGTCTCGGCATAGGTTACGGTTGCCCGCGATGTGCCCCACACGAAGCTATATCCCTTGTCATTTGTCAGCAATTCAAACGGTTGCCCCGGCAGTCGGGTGAAAACGAAAGAGTAATTTCGCGTCAACGTCTCTCATGATCGCTGTGCAATTAGCTACCGCTGTTTGGTTGCTTCGGTAGCGGACAAGGGATTGTGCACGCATCAGTAGTTCCACAACACAAGTGTCGTGTCGTTTCTCCGCCAGCAAGGCCGGCTGTCTTGCCAAACATTCTTACACATTTCTATCGACTGCTGTATTGCGAGCAGACGGAAGCGCCACGACTCCGGTGCGCAGCAGTAGGAGGGGCAGGGCGCTCGATGAGCCGACGTCGTCTGTACGCCGCGAACAAGATGCTAGGGAGGAGAAGCGCCCAGCACTTGGTCCTTCTGTGCCGCGTCAAATGCCCCTCTTTGACGCTCCCGAGGTGGGTTCGACCTTCGTGTCGAGAAGGAGGATGAAGGGGGACACTGCGGTGTGTGTACCTCACCGTGTTGCAGCAGTAGTTCCGTTTGATGCGCCGTCGAATACATAAGTCACGAAGGCGTAGCGCTCGCGAGGGTTGACATCGCGATACGTTTGCGTTTGTCTTCCACCTTACACGTGCGGGTTCACATTCCAGGCTAGCGACCGACCTGAAGCAACCCCATCTTTCCCCTTTGAGTACACCCCGACGAGAGAGGGCGATAACCATTGCAAGCTCCCCGTCTTCTTCCTTCTGCACCACCGCCGGACGGAGGTTCGGCGCGGCGGCACGCAGTTCTGGTGTGCCGAAATTCGAAAGTGGTGGGATGAACATGGGTCAGAGTTCGGTACTCAGGACGCCTCCGGAGTGCAGCCAATATCCGTTTCGAAAGTGCCGCCAACATGGTCAAGGTCAGTACCCTGACGAGATTGCTTCGCATGTGCACTTGCAATTGCGTCCGTGACAAGAACAGCTATAAACTTTGCCCGTTACGCACCGGGGGTGTGTTGATTCATTCTACACACCCTCGCGTACATGCGTTTAGGTGGAATGCGGATTGCACACTCACGAAGTACTTCGTATATATCGTACATACTATAGTATACTCGCGCGTATTTTATTTTTTTACCTCCCTGAACACACATTAGGTCCCTGCGTCCAGGCAAGTACCATGAGCAAAACCTTTCGCATCTCGCGTCCATGGCAGGTGCATAGTTCTGTCCAGTTGTTGGAATTGGAATTTCGCGCCCTATTGTCTTGGAGGAAGCCCCGGTCCGCACGATGGTCATGTTTGGCAAAAAATACGGGCCTCGGCGGGCCACATGATAGCTGTGCGTGTTGCGGTGATTATGCTGCGACGTTGTGGTTTTGTTGCTCAGACTCTTGGTGGCCAACGGGAAAGTCCCACCGCTGCTTGCGATTTCTTGTTTTCTTCAAGCGAAGATGGTTGGCATTGTGCCCTCCCGATACATAACTTTCGTGAGAATAATGGATTCTAGTGGGTCGGGGTACTTTGGAGCCGGGCTAGCACGGGCACGGCAACATTTAAAGTAGAATGTCAAAGTCGTAATGTAGGTGGGGTACACGTGTGTATTGGATGTGACAAATCTTCGGCATTGTTATTGATAAGATATCTTGAAAGATTTGGCCGATCCTCCCCCCCCCTGCGTGTGTTGATCCTACCTTTCTTTGGACAGGATGATGGTGTCGCAAACTAGTATGTATGGCCTTTCCCGAGAGCGCGATGGTGTGGACCAGCTTTGGGTTGTTTCCGTCTCAGATCTCAAGGCGGAAGCGGCAAGGCCATACAGCGTCCCCGCGGGCTGGGCCGAGGAGTACCACGAGAACGGGACGTGGGGTTTCCGTCGTACTGATGCAGGGGTGCCCATTTCCGTGAGGGGATCTGCAGAACTGTGTCGCTCAAATTGTCGATGTAGATATGATTCAGGTCATACAACATTTTTCTCGTGCAAATGTTGAGCAAGTCTCACAGGCACGGTTTCCGTAGAGCATCATCACCGCTGTCCATGCATCAACGTCCTTGCACGTGTTCTTTCGCTGTGAGGGTGTTTCCCAGGTCATCATGTCCACCCCCACTCCCGAGGGTACTTTCCGCTTGACTTCTGTCTCCGTGCGCGAACTGGATGTGACAGAACAGGACCCGTTCAGCACCCTCTCATTCCCGATAAAAATGAGCGCTGACCTACACCGGGTAAGCCGTCAGAACTGTGGTTCGTGAAGACCTGTTGAGGGAGGTAAATCACTTCTCCCGCGACGTATCTGTAGTCGTCACTTATCATTTCTGTCGCAGTAGCTTCATCTGCTGCCACACGATCCGACAGCGTGAGTAACCAGTGGTCACGCGTATTGCAACGGATACCAGATAGTCCCCGAATGACCTACCGGCTGCTCGCACGTTAATTGGGACGCATATATCACGTTTGTTGTCAGGTGCTGGGCGAAGCTGGGCGGGTGTTTGTGTGCGAGGGGGTCCGCGAGAGTCATCTGCCGGGTGATGTCCGCGGTAGCTTCGGGAGCTACGTTACGCGGTCTATTCGAGTCCTCCGGAAGGACCAGGCAGTGGAAGTGGCGGCCCTGGGTGTAATCAACTCCGTCGGCGGGGAAGAGGCCGGGACCCTGCACTCCGTTTGCGGACCTCATGGCGAAGAGTTTGTCCTGTACTCCACGAAGTACGTCTGTTTCGAGACGGCTGTCACGCAGATCCCGTTTGTTTGCGCCGCGTGCCTGTCGTTCCGCAAGCGGGGAGTCGTGGAGTGGCTGCGGAAGCGAAGTGAGCCCGTGGACCAGCGGACAAACAACAGGTTCCTCAGCACCCCCCAACAGGTCTGTATCGTGGAATCGAGAGATCGGTATTGAGGACGAAGGTGGGGTTCGAGAACGGCATTCGCCCGTGTGTAGGCCCTCGAAGTACATGTCGCTGCGTTTACGCTTTCCGCTTCGGGCGTGCCACACATTCCCTCGTCCTTGCTCGCTGATTTCTTGCCGCCCTGTGTGATCGGTCGCGGCGGCATGGACTAGAGTGTCGCAGGAGCTGTGAATGTGTGCGAACGAGGTGACCTCAACTCCAACTTGTGTTGTCCGCTCCTGCCGTTCGATTGTTTTTTCTGCTTCATGTTGTGTTGTGTTCTCCCTTGCTAAGGTCGACAAGCTTCGCGAGCTGAGCAAAGACAAGAAGGGAATGCGCATGCAGTTGCACCGCGCTAAGCTGGCTAAGTGCCGCGAGGATGACATCATCATCCCCGCAGAGGAAGATCAAGGGCAGCAGCTCTTCGATCTCTTGCAGCACGACGACATCCAGAACAAGTTTGCCAAACTCCCTGGGGATAGCCTAGCAAGCGCCGTTCTGGAGGTCAACCAAGTCTTGTCGGTGTCCGCCGGTGCCAGTTAGTGTCCTGGTGTTGTCGTTTTAAGTTTTTGGCGTTCGTTTTTGTCGTTTCAGATATGTTTCCTACCTTACCACAGCACACGCAGGATGCGGAGTCCCTCGTTGCACCTGTCCGGGCAAAGTCTGTTCCGCTGATCCCTCGCGCAGGGGAGAGCGGCTGTGCAACCAAAACGATGCCATATCCGCCTCCATCACTACAACCTGCGTACGTTTCGGAACCTCCCTCTCCCAGGACAACTACGAGTGGAACAGGGTGAACGGCTCGAAGAAGGGGTGGCGCTACAACCCCAAGGTACTGCGCTGGGCTCTGTACGCCATGCACAGGTGCGGGTCTTCGGCATACGAGGTGCTTCGTGAAGTCCTCCATCTCCCGGACCCGCGCCACGTCCGGAAAATCGGCATGAAAACCGATCCTATCTCTGCCGGGATCCAGCACCACAACATCAAAGTGAGGAGTGTGGGGAGTGGTGGGATTCCGCCGCAGCAGCCTCCCATTTGGTGCAGGTATGTACGTGGTTGCATGTTGGCACGCACCAGCATTTATCGCTGACGTTAGACGTTTGACTGGCACAAGTGAGACCATTGAAAATTCTCGGTTTCTCTTCCCGTTTGCTGTCCCTCCACCGTGGCCTCTTGTTCTCTCACAGGCGCACGGCAAGCTCGCCGCGGCGAGACGGGGCGGCGAAACAGTAAGTGGTTAGAATCCTTGTCTTTCATGTTTTGGGTAATGGGAAAGGCGGCAGACCCGTGTGTGAGTGCGCTTTGCTACTTCCTGCATTTCGCTTGTTGTCACCCAGGCGTCGGCGAAGTTTTTGTCGTCCTGTCGCGCCCTCCGCCCTTCCTATGCCCGTACGTCACGTGATCAGCCGTGATCCCCGTCGATTGGGCGTGCTGAATTCTCTGTGTTTCGTGGCCTTGCCATCATGAACTGTCAGCGTAACAACTGTTCCCTGGCCACATCCCACTCCGACGCCCTGCCCTGCGCTGTATCTCGCAACCTTAACCGAACAGCGTAGAAGGATGTGAGCGTCTCGCACACATTCTCGGAGTGGGTGAAGGAAGGAGATGAGTTTGAGCAAAGCTTCAAGGACTTCAGAGTGGCGTTCGATCACCCATTCCACGGGTAGTCTGTGTTCAACCTGTCCGACCCACCCCACCTGTGGAACGTCAACGCCTTATGGCACAGCGACCTTCCGTGGAAGTCGAGGAACCTCGCCAAGGTCTGCGTTGATCCAGAGACCGGCGGCTACGAGCTCGTGGAGTTTTCGCTCAAGACGCTGGAGAAAGTGTGGTACACGGAGGAGAAGGGGGGGGGAAAGTGGTTGCTGGAGGAGAAAACTGCGCAGCTTACGCGGTACTCCAAGGTGGTGTCCGAGCAGTTCAACCGGAGCGGCTTCAACTGCATGAGCGTGCGGCTCGCGGTCAAGGTATTGGTTATGTTGAGCTGCAAGTTGCGCCCACCTCGTGGGCTTCAGGCGAGCGCGCGCAATGTGTCCACAAAGGGTGCGCTCACGTGGAACTTGACGAGTGGGCACGAGTAGAATGTTGCACACATCTCTCCCATTTGATTGCCAGACAACGTCTGCCCCTTGCGGCATGAAGACGTGCAGGTTCGCGTTTGCCTTGATATTGGTGTGTGTCGATTTAGTCCGTTGATGAGTTTTGTCTACTGCCGCTCGTGGACGCCTGCGGACCATGATTCAGTTGCGCATTGGAAATGTTGAAATCTGAAAACGTCACGTCTCCCCGATTGCAGAGTCTCTCCGCCACCGCGGTTCGGATGTGCAACGACGCCAACGCCAAGCTGGTCCGTAGTGGCCAGAAGCCCGACCTCTCCATCGCGTGCTACGCCGAGATGGCGCGGCAAGTCAACGATTTCGTGGACATCATGAATGGCAAGTGTCAAGCAAGAGTACTTCCGGCTTTGCTCCTGGGATCGGGGGGCCGGGCGGGGGGGGGGGGGGGGGGGGGGGGGGGG